GAGCGAGGCTCGGGCGGTGCTCCTGCCGAGGGCACGCCGCTGCGCTGGCGTCACCCACTGCCTCTGGAGGCCCTTTACCTGGGGTCCCTTGTGGTCTTCGCCAGGCCGGGGTTTCGCCTTCGCACCGCTGAGAGGCGTTACGTTACCTTGGCAGATCAGGCTCTTTGTACTCTTAATAAGCATAGTTCCTTAAGCCCTGTGGCCTTTTACTGCAAGGGATGCATTTTTGAATTTCTGCTGGTGTTAAAACCATGAATTCTTTGGTATACTTCCTCTTTGTAGCGAAGGCAAGGCCTCGGTTTTGTGAGAGTTTGGAGAGGCCAACCATACAAGTAAGGAAAATGTGGTGTAGTTCCAGTGTGAGGAACACAGAGATGTTGCTGAGCAGTTTATCATGATTTTTCGTAGTTCCTGGATGTATTTTCAACATAGCTTTAAAATCCAGTAGGGAAAAATGCTCTGGTGCTGTGGATTTACGTCATTTTTGTTGTGTGAAACTATACACGCTTTCTGTGGTGAAAAAAAAAGTTAAAAATTGCAGTTTCTGTCCATGTCTTTGCCAAATCTCTGGTTATCTTGAGAAATGCTGTACTGTAATGTGAGAGGATGGAGAGTTCTGCTGAATTTCTTGTAATCCCTAGACCCAGTACTTGACCTGATGACCCAAGCACTGTTTTTAAAAGGAGGAGCAGAATCCCATCAGCACAGCCAGAGAGGTCCAGGCAAGGCTACATTTGTTTTGCTGAGCAAACAGGTGCTTACCTCCATCCAGGCCGGGTCCTCACCCAGGATCTGTTTCCAGAGCAAGAGTTTCCTACTGCTCTTCGCTCATCCAGTTTCCCTTGTTTGGCTGTAGCTGGTAGTGATTCTGTGCTGAAAGCAACATGAGAGATTGCTAGAGCTGTAATAAAATTAATATTAACTTTTTAATTACTGTAACTGTTAAAGTTATATCATGGGAAATAATGAAGTTAACTATAGCAAAAAGGTGTTTATTTTGGTCTCAAGTGAAGCTATGACGTAGTTTTATGGATTCCAACTTGCCGAGTGCATGTTTGAAGCACTTAGTGAGGCAAAAGCCTTGTTCCATGTAGAGCACAAATTGAATGTACAAGGGGACATGCTTTTTGTTTTTTCTGCTTTCAGTCCTCAGCACATTCTTAACTGTGTTGTCTCGATGAAGGTACCACCTCCATAGCATTATGGGTTTGGTATGGTCTAACTAGAAAGTGAGTTCATTTGCTTAAACCTTCCATGACAAAAACATAAATAGTTCTCTGCTTTTTGTCATTATAAATTAGTCTTTGCCCATGAATCATCTTAAAGGCAATTTTTAAGAACAAGGTCTCAAGGGAGAAAAATGCGTGTTTAACTCTATTTGATCACAAGTTATTGCTGGGTGGGAAGATACTGGTTAGTTTGAAAGCTAAAGTGCAATTACAGTGTGTCATTTTACAGATTAAAAAAAGGTAGCCAGTACTAATTTTCCTCTTTAAACACTGTAGTATATAT